CTCACACATAGATTTTAGGATACCATGCACATTTTTAAAAAAAACAACCACCAATTTTTAGCATAACAAATTGTTTGAAGGGGATTTTACTCAAATAAATGATAGACTGTAGACAAATTAAGCAGCATTTTAAAAATTGGAAGCATTTTCTTAATGTTTTATATTACAGTACGAGGGAGGGAAAGTACACTGTGTTAATGGCAAGAATGCCATCTGGGAAACTATGAGCATACTTCCATATGACTGCCATGCTGCAGTATTAACACTAGAGAAAATATCACGTTTAGAACATGTGATAGTTCTACTTGATTTAGCAAACTTCTGCTGATCATTTTGTTTGTGTATTTAGAACGTATAATGTTATATTGCTTTTCTCTCCCTTCAATATAAATTATTCTCCTCTTATAGATGTTGAGCTGCTAAGTTTTGATAATTCCTGTTAGCTCTTTGTACTAATGACCGTGGCTTTGTGCATGATTGCTTAAAGTGTTATCCAAAGAAGAGAGCCTGGTTTATTCCTCTTAAACAAAATCAACATCAGAAATCAAGAACTTCCAATATTGTCTTGTTCTGAGAGAGAGAGAGAGAGAGAGATAAAGCTAGTCCATTTTTTTCATTTTATTAGTGAGCTCTATTTATTAATATTAGAAAGTAATAAGAGGGAACAGAGCACTACTTGTTTCCTGATAGGAGTATGCAAGCCTGCCCTTTGAATGCCCCTCCTTAACAGGCTACTGGGGGGCATAAGTATCTAATGGTGAAAGAGAAGTGGTCACATGACTCCTGAGAAACTGATCCATTTAGTGTTGAAGTAATTTTCAAATATGTATCTGCAATTTCATACTTTTTGAGTAAAGACTATAATTAGTATATCTTAAAAGGAATACAGACTTAAAAACATTTTTTGAAAAAATGTGCAGAAGCAAGTTACCATTGGAAAATCATGGAATAAGTATTTTTCATTTTAGCTTTAACCAAATAGCAATGAGAAAGCATTTTCAGTGTACCACATTTAAGGTGATCTAAATGATCTTATTTTGGAATTGCAGCTTAATATTTATATCCTACTGGCAGATGATGCATAATAAGATTGGGCTGAATGTTAACTATTCCAACATAATGTATTTTTCCCAAATAAGAAATGAGGTTGTTTGCCAAAAGGAATGCTTATCTCGAATTATTAGAAAATTAACTGCATTTTATGGAGCATTTTCTGTATCCACTAGAAGGTTTGGCTTAAAGGTGCAGACAGCTTGCCTGAGGACCACAGTACATTTGTAATAAGAGAAAATTAACTTGTTTGCTGCAGCTGATAATTTTGAATTAGCTGGTACTATTCTGCTTGCTTAAAATGAGGAAGATAAATTACTGAGCTCGAAACGACAGAGTTTCCGTGTTTCCCCAGTCCCAGTGGCCAATGTGAGGAAGGCATGGGGATGCTTTAATTTCCTGCCGAAGTCCTTCCCATGCTGTATGCTCACAGGCTCCTTGGAGCTGAGCACCATATAATTGATGTGCAGCCTGCATTGCTGAAACTTGGACTGCACCATTCTCAGCGTGAGGGAAGATGTAATCCGATCTCTGCGCCGCTGAGGGAGGAATCCGTTCCGTCAAGGCTTTGACTGGGCAAAGTCTCCTCCAATAATCTTCCCTCCCGATCTCATTATTCCCTCAAGTTCTTCTTCGACAAGCCCTACGTATGTATGTGTGCCGGGAGAAGCTGTTTGATCGCGAGCTTCCTTCTCCTTCGCAGTGGAGTTTGGCTGCTGGTTCTATTGCCCAATCTTCCTTTTCTGACGTGCCCGAGCATGTCCACATTAGAGTCTGTGACATATCTACCTGAAAAAGGTTTATATTGTCAAAGACTACCGAGCAGTCGGATACTTGGGGGCACAGAATCTCTGAAGGGAAAAAATACCGACAACATGGGCTTCTACGGCACTTTAAAGATGATTTTTTACAAAGTAAGTAACTGGCGTGCTTTTGGAAAAGGTATTATTCTGTATGTTAGGGAGAAGAGGAAGGAAGGAAGGAAAAATCCGTATCATTGTAGATGGCTGCAGTATCTCCGTAGTTGCCCCCCTCCCCTTAGTGGGTGGCTGAATGCTTAAAATTCTACGTGCTGGATAAAGGCAAATAATGAAAAGGCTCAGTGAGATGCGAAATGCTTTTATTTTAAAATCTGCATGAGAAACCAGAGAAAGATCAGACTATTTACCTTTGACTGAACTGGGTCTTCATATTCAGCTCTGCACTTTAAGCTTGTTTTTAATTAGAGCTTCCCTCGGATTCACTTCTGTATATTTTCTTCAAGAGTATTTTATTTTCATTTTGTTAATGCAGCTGCCTTGGAAACAAATAGTTCTTATGCTTCTATGTAAATATTTGCATCAGAGAGGTATTTTTAAGATGTGCCTGGTGCATTCCCAGTAGTCGTGCAGAAAACAGGCTGCAGGATCTGTTCTTTCAAATAATAATGCTAATACTAAGTAATACTTTGCTATAAGATTCAAATGTTTCCATGAGTATTTATGAATCATGTTTTAAATTGTGTCGTATTAGATTATTCTGAAGGGAATAAACTTCTGTATAGAATGATATATGATAATTTATTAACGTCTTTTTAATACAGTGTGCATTGCAGAGCTACTGCATATTTCACAATCTAGACTAGGGATAAAAAAGTTTAATACAAATATTGAGAAAATGAGAGTTTGATAACGGTCTTTGGCAACTGTAGAAACTGTTTAGAATATATCCTGTACTTCTGAGACAATGAACTTGTGTTCAAAGTGGGAGTTGATGTTACACCTCTGACTCCCAAAATTTGCCTGAAGAAAAATAAATTATTTTTTTCTGTGAATGCCTTTTTTATATCATGCTGTCCCACAGAGAAAATCAAATTAAAGATTTAAAACATTTTTTTCCCCTGAAGAAACAAGTTGATGTTAATATGGGGTTAGTTTATAGTAATATAAGGAGTCCTTTTCCAGTGGTTTTCTTAGTCTCCTGCACATGGATAGAAATATGGTTTCTGTTATTCTGTGTCTTGTTTTAAAGAAGAAGCATGCTTGCAAAGAAGGTTGTTTTCTCATTTGGGTTTTTAGTCCTGTATGGTAACATGCTGTGTTCTGCCCCATATGAGCCAGAGGCATACAGATAGGTTAACCATAAGAACAGCTTCATTACTGAGAAAGTGAAATGAATAAGCATAGCAATTTACATAGAACATTGTTCAAAATCATATGTAACACATTGGATGAATGCATATAAGTGCATTTTAAAATCTTGGAAAACAGTGTATCTTTGGTATCAGTACCAAAGTATCAGTACCAGCTAAATAATTAGTGCATGTCCATTTAATAAAATAAATAAATATAATTTGTTTTGAAAGGGAGTGTATCTTGGACATCACTTTTCAAAGATGGATATGATAATATTGGTATGGTAGCAATTATTTAAAACATTCACTGTATTATGAAAAATCTATAATAATAAAACCCATCATATGCAATATTTATCTTTCTGCTCAAACATGTATGCCGTGTCACTTAGCCAGTGTAGCAGGTTATGGCTGCATTGGTCAAATCTAAAAAGTTTGCATTATAAATAGATGTGTTATAAACTTCTACTAAGCTATTTCATACAGTAATGAAACTGTATTTTATAAAATTCTTACACACAGTTTTAATTTAAGTTTCTTGCCTAGCAGTTTTTAAAAATCACTGAGTGTAGTAAGATTTAATAACTTATTTGTTTGACTCAAATTATTTATTATTTGAGTATTATTTATTTTTAGAAGCCGTATCTTTAAAACAAAATCTTTTAAAAAATTATCTGCTTGGCAATGGGAACACAGGCAAGCTTCATACATTCACACTCTCCCCCCTCCCCCACGGCACATTATTCTGGTTAGAAAAAATTTAGTTTTATTAAATCTGTCAGTAGAAGTTAGAAATACAAGAAACATCTCACAGAAAAGTAGTTTAATGTCCCTGATTCCATTTCATAAAATGTTTCTCAAATAGTTATGCAAGAACATTTTTCTTTATTCATTCAGTTGCAGGCTACCCAACTCCTCAACAACTCTGGGCAACTAACAATTAAAAAGAAATAGGAAAACAACAACAACAACAACACAGATGAAAGAACGCAGCTGACCA